CGGCTTTGCTCCGGGGCAAAGGAGCAAAGCCGCACGGGCAGCGGGGTCCCGCCGCCTGTGCGGCTTTGCTCGGGTCTCCCTGCTGTGCCGGGGAGTCCCCCCCAGCACACCAGGGAGACCCGGAGCAGCTTTTCTCGCCCCGGAGGACGCGGTGGCGGGACCTCTGCGCTCTGGGCGGTCCCGCCGCCCGCGAGCTCCGGGGCAAGAAAAGCCCCGTTCATAAGTGCGGATCCGACATAAGTCAGATCCGCGTAAGTCGGATATACTGCCTGTATATCAGGACTATAATTTTATCTTCCCCCTTTTACTGAATGATTATAGACCTGGACCAAAGCTAAGCTGAAGAATTAAACATGGGTCAATCTTTAATCAAGCATGCTTCCTCCCCTCTCCCCAGCAGTGTTTATGAAAAGTCTATGTTAATTATGGCTTTCTCTATATTGGCAAGCTTTGTTGAGGAAAAGTGCTTTTTGTCAACAAAACTATGTGAGCCTTCACACTGCAACATGACTTTTGTTGCAAAAATGTCCATTTTCATCGACAAAAAACTTTCTGCTCCACGAGGGACTTTTGTCTTTTCCTCTCCCTGTGTTTGTGACAAACATGTAATGTAGACACCTTGAGGCATTTAGCTGATTCTAGCCTCCAGGAAATGACTCATAATTCCCAATCAGATGCTCTAGTCAGCAGTTTGAACTCCACTGTCCTGCAGGCAGATGACCAGCTACACACACTGCCCCCTTTCAAGCTCTGCAAAATTTAAATCCCATTTCCTGTTGCCTTAGGACTTGTGGGCTGGCTCAGAGTGCAGTGGTTTCATGGTGTCTTCCAAGATGCCCATGCCTGGCCATTGCACCAAATGCTCCCCTGCTTGGAGGGCTTCAGAACTTTTGGATCTGATCAGTGTACAGGAAAAGGAGTCTGTCCACTCCCAGCTGCAAGTGACCTGCACATTTCTCAAGCTTTGTATGAGTCAAACATACTGCAGTGAAGAGCAAAGATTAAAGAACTTAGATCAGAGTATCATAAGTTCTGAGTGGTGAACCAATGCTCCAGGGCTTCACCAAAAACCTGCTATTTTTATAAGGAGCTGGACACTATCCTTGGTGGTGACCCCCCCTCCATTGCCAAGAGCCCCGTGGATACTTCAGTGGGCAAGGAGGCAATACCCTGAGGACCTAACTTGAAAATAAAATTATAGATGAAGAGTCTGAGGTAGACGAGGACCAGGAGCTCCCCTCTGGGATTGCCTGACTGTTTCTAATAGCCAGGAACTATTCTTCACTGCAGATGGATTTAACGGCTATGTCTACATTGGCAGGATTTTGCACAAAAGCAACTGCTTTTGCGCAAAATCTTGCCACCTGTCTACACTGGCCACGAGTATTTGCGCAAGAACACTGACGTTCTACCGTATGAAATCAGTGCTTCTTGCGCAAATACTCTGATGCTCCTGCTCAGATATAAGTTCTCTTGCGCAAGAGCCCACATTCCCTGTCACTGATGGCTAAAATGGCCATCGGAGCTTTCTTGCACATGAGAGTGTCTACACTGGCACGGATGCTTTTGCACAAAAGCAAATCTTTTGCGCAAAGGCACATGCCAGTATAGATGCTCTCTTGCACAAATACTTTTAATGGAAAAACTTTTCTGTTAAAAGTATTTGCACAAAATCATGCCAGTGTAGATGCAGCCAACCAGTCTGATCAACCTTTTTCTGAGGACCAGGAAGTAGGGGATGAGATGCAGGGTAAATAGCCATGGCTCATAGAGTGCAGGGCCGAGGGCATGGAAAAGTGGGAGGCTGACTGTTTCTGTGAGCTGCATGTATCTCTGTGTAGCTAATCGATATGGTTGAACAGGATGTTGATGCTCACTGTGATCTCAGTGGAATCCTGCCAAGAGATGCTATCGAAACTCTTCCCGAGATACTTGTAAATTTTCTGCCACAGATTCCATGACAGTGCAGCTTTGTCCCCTCTTCCTTTGCAGGACCCCAGCCTGTACCACTCAACAATCACTTGTGCAGGAACCAAAGAGGGACATAGATGGGCTGAGCAGCCCTAGAAAGGGCAGGCTGCAAGGCCCCCGCCGCCTCAGGCCAGCCCCGAAGAAAAGTCAGCAGGTGGGCTATGTGGCCCCTGTCACTGTGGGCTAGCCCAGGGGAGCAGCAACTGGCCAATTCCATCTCCTGCTGAGTCCCCCCACCTCCTGCCTTAAGCCCCCCCCATACTTCCTAATCCACTGCCCTGACGCCTGCACCCCCACCACTCCCATAAGCATTCCCACATTCCTAAACCCCTGCACTGGCTCCTGCACCTGCCACCCCCTACCCTGAGCCCCCCTTTACCCCTAATGTTGGCTTCTGCACCCTGCACATCACCAGCCTTCTGCCCTGAGTCCCCACATTCCCCAGCCCCTGCCCTGACTCCTACTCCTTCCACAACTACAGCCTCCTGCTCAGAAGGACCCAAGCAATGCCCGGTAAATCTAGTTTTTTTAATAAAGTTGATGTAAAACATTAAACCTCTAATGTCACAAATGCAAATAGTCTGACTTACATCAGTCCATATTGAACTAGCCTGTGTCAGCAACATCCAGGATCGACTAACTTGAGCACATCTTGCCAGATCAATTAAATCGATATAATGGAAGATCTAAGATAGAAAAACAGAGCACATGAAAATAAAAAATATTGCTTAAGAAATACCATTAGACTTTAAAAAAAGACAACATACATTTAAAATCCAAAACAACAGGCTTAAAATGCTTCTGTCAGCTATTTTATGTGACTGAAATAGGTAATGCAGAAATAGGCTCTACTTTCCCCTCTAGACCCATGTCAAATAAGGCATTATATAGCCAACTTATGACTGAGGCTACGTCTACATTACAGGGTTTTGGCACAAAAACAGCTGTTTTAGCACAAAAATCCATAGAGCATCCATACCTGAAGTGCGTTTTTGCGCAAGTAAATTTATAGTAAATCAAAAGAACAGAGGGGATTTGGGGGTATAGGTATTCCTCTTTCTACAAGGAATAACTCCTTTTTGCACAAGAGTTCTTGCACAAAAAGGGGTGTGTGGACGAGCAACAGGCGTTTTTTATGCAAAAAGAGCCAATCGAAAAAAGTACAGTGCTCTGGTGGCTATTCTGTGAATAGCAATCAGAGCTTTCTTTCGAGAGAGTATTCATGCAGTCTGGACGCTCTCTTGCGATGCGCTTTTGTAATGTGGACGCACACTTGAGCAAGAAGTTTTTGCGGAAGATCTCTTCCACAAAAAGCTTCTTGCGCAAGAAGCCTGCAGTGCAGACGTAGCCTAATATGGCAATCAAAGGATCAGTTTTCTTATCTAACCAAGTCATAAGAGGAAGATGTGTAAAGGAGCCACAGGACTAATAATAGATCTCCTTGTCTGTAGGCCCTTTCATAGGCCTAGCTCAGCTTGGGCAAAGTTTGCTATGAAATTTACCCCACAGATCTCTTAAGAGCCTGATACTGCTTGATAGGCTGTGTTAATAGGCTCCGCAAGGTAACTCTTTTGGTCACAGTTTGTATCCTACACATATCAGTGTGAATTTTCTGTTCCACATCCCTCTTATATTATTGATTCTCAAAAATTACATCACCACAAAAATTTTGAGCATAGCAACTTAGAATAACCTTGTTTCAGAAGTGGTTGGTTCTCTACAGTTACTTCTCCTGGAACTTAAGGAGTGAGAAGTAGAAATTACTCTCTTTGTGCAGTAATGGTGGTTCTTTGAGATGTGTGTCCCTGTGGGTTTTCCACTCATGCGTTGGTGCATCCTAGCATTGGTGATTGATTATTTTTCCAAGCAGTGCCCTGCTGTGCTGCGCTGAACATTCTGATTGCATTTGCAGTCCTTCCGTTCCTTCTCTATCATGGACAAAACCCCTATAGGAGCTCCAAAATAGGCGAGGAGGGAGGATAGAGGATAGAGGATAGAGGAGCACCCACAGGCACACACATCTCAAAGAACCATTGTTACCAAACAAGGTAATTTCTTCTTTGAGGGCTGACCCTGTGAGGCTTTTGAGCACATGGTTGAGATCCCTGTGGGATGGGAAGTGGGATGGGAAGTCTAATTGTGGGAAAAATATTATGGAGGCCCACGATGAATCGTTCGCTAATAGGGAGTAAAAAAAAGAGAAGCCATCTATGGGGTCATGAAATGCTGAAATTGCAGCTACATTAACTTTTATTGAACTAAGAGATAACCCCGATTCCCTTTGTTCAAGTAGATAGTCTAGTATGTTGGAAAAAGGAGCAGTGGTGGGAGAGAAGTTGTGCCTGTGTTGGGATCATAAGGAGAACCATTTCCATTTACAGGTATGAGTCTGTCTGGTAGTAGACTGTCGGCTGTTAATTAATATCTATTTTACTTTGAATAGAAGGTTTTGGCATCATGGAGGCATAAAGTAGCCATGCCTTCAGATGGAGTGTTGTTGGATCTTGATGTAATGGGCATAGTGTGCGTCCATGATCTTGAGGGAGGAAATTGTAGCATGGTGGGAATGTGTGTGGATTGCAGCCAATCAGTTGAGGTCTGGGAGACAAGTCTGTCTCAGTATGACGTGGGCTTAGTCTTGTTGAATTTTCTGAATGACCCATGGCATGAGAGGTATTGATGGAAATGCATAAAGGGTTTCCCATCTTAGAAGGAAGGCATTGCCAGGGGATACTTTCCCACGGCCTACTCTGTAGCAAAATAGGTGACATTTGGGATTGTGTGGGATTCCAAAGGGATTGATGTTGGGGTAACTCCATTGCAATATACAGAGAGGAGAACAGCAATGTTTATCTCCCATTAGTGTTGATCAAAAAAAAATTGCTGAGATTGTCTGCTGTGACATTGAGGGCCCCAGATAGGTAGGTTGCTATAACAGTGATGCAATGCTGGATGCCCCAGTTTCATTATTTGACTGTTTTGTCGCAAAGGGAATTGAATCTGGCCCCTGCTCTGGCAGTTGATATAATACATACATGCTGTGTAGTCTGTCAGAATATGGATAGTTTTGCTCTGAATGTGTAGGAGGAAACACTAGCAGGTTTAGCGAACCACTCTGAGTTCCAGTAAGTTAACGTGGAGTTTGGCATCCAGAAGAGACTTTATCTGTGAAGTGTGGGTGTCCAGGTGCACTTCCCCAGCCCATAAGAGAGGCATCTGTAGTTATAGTAGAAGTTGGAACCAGTTGATGGTAGGGGACGCCCTGTAGCATATTGTGGGGCTGGGTCCAACAATGTAGAGACGAAAGAATGTAGTGAGGGAGAGATATTTTCTTGTGTAATGTGTCTCTGGAAGGAACATATTTGGTGGCCAGCCATGTCTGACGGCATGTCATGTGAAGTCTCGAGAACATGACTGTGCAGGTTGTGACAGCCATGTGGCCCAGGATTTGGAGACAGGTGTGTACTATGTACAGTGAAGAACAAACTGTATTGATGAGGGCGATCAGGCTGTGTCTAGACTACATGGCACCTTCGACAGAGCCATGTAGATGAGTTTACTCGGCAAAGGTGTTACAGGTGTTACAACGAGGCTTACAGGATCTGCTGACAAAGGATTCTGGGGTCAGCAGATCCCTGTCTAGACTGCCGCGCTGTGCTGACAAACAGCTGATAGGCACAGTGTGGGAGCCATTTTGATCTAAATGAAGCGGCGATTATTTAAATCGCCGCTTCATTTCCCTCTGCCAAGTAAACTCATCTACATGGCTACATTGACGGAGCCATGTAGTCTAGACACACCCTCAGTGTGTTGAGTCTGGTGCCCTTGATGAGGCAGCCATCTAAGAATGGGAATAAAATTACCCCTAGACAACATAAGTATGTCGTGACTACTGCGAGCATTTCGGGGAAGACTCTTGGTACTGTTGACAAGCCAAATGAGAGGACTTGGTATTGGTAATGGTTGGTACCCCCTGTAAAGAGTAGAAACTGTCTGTGTGTAGGATGGATGGTTATATGAAAATAAGTGTCTTGAAGGTCAAGGGATGAGAACCAATCTCTGTTGTCTAACATCTGTATGATCGTTGCTGGTGTTACTATTTTAAACCTTTGCATACACACTTGCTCAGTTTTCTGAGATTGAGCATAAGCCTCCTCAATCTTGTTTTTAATGTGTGAGGAAGTATTTGGAATAAAAGCCTCTTCCTTGGTAAGGAGGCGGAAAAGAAGGTTACTCACCTTCCTGTAACTGACGTTCTTTGAGATGAGCGTCCCTGGGGGTGCTCCACATCAGGTGTTGAGCACCCCAGTACTTCTCGATGGATTTTTCTCAGCAATGTATCGGGGGCTGCGCATGCGCAGCATGCACGAGCCTCCCTCAGTACTATCGCGCATGCGTGGCCCCCCTGCCTTCAGTTACTTCTCTATCCGGAACCCGGCAAATAATATATTAAGATGTTATCATAAGGGCATTCTGAAGTAGAGGGGAGGAAGGAAGGGTAGTGGAGCACCCCTAGGGACGCTCATCTCAAAGAACGTCAATTACAAGAAGGTGAGTAACCTTTTCTTCATCGAGAGGCGTCCCTAGGAGTGCTCAACATCAGGTGACTACAAGCAATATTTTCTTATGGCAGCAGGGACTTCGGATCAGGTAAGTATGCCGTTTGTAGTACAGCTTCTGCTAGTTTGATATGCTGGAGGGGTCCTGAGGTAAGTGCATAATGTTTTGCAAAGGTGTTTTCTGATGACCATGTGGCTGCTGTGCAAATATCATGCAGTGGGATTCTCCTCAGATAAGCAACGGACGTGATGACTACCCTTTTGGAGTGTGCCCAAATCAGCACTGGCAAAGGTAAGTCGTTTAGCGAATAACAAGTAGCAATGCATTCTGAGATCCAATGTGACAATCTCTGTGATTAAATTTGTTTTCCTTTACTATGATCTGCAATGGAGATGAAAAATTAAGGAGAGGAACCGAAAGATTTTGTTCTGTCAGTGTAGAAGGAGAGAGCCCTCCTGACATCTAGGGTGTGCATCTGGGCTTCAAATGCATTAGCGTGGGGTTTTGGAAAGTATACTGGTAAGTATATTGTCTGATTCAAGTGGAAAGGGGAGCGCACCCTGGGGAGGAATTTTGGGTGCGGTCGCATTGTGACCTTGTCCTTAAAAAATATCGTGAAAAATGGTTTTGCCATCAGGGCAGCCATTTCGCTCACTCTGCGGGCTGATGTTATTGCTATCAAGAATGCCGTATTTAAGGATAAATGGCGTAGGGAACATGTCGCCATGGGTTCAAATGGTGGTTTTGAGAGGGTTGTTAATACCAAGTGTAAGTCCCAAGGCTCTTGAGGGGGTGCCACCTCTGGGTATAGAGCCTGGAGACCTTTTAAAAATCGCTTGGTTACTGGGTGTGCGAAGACTGTAGCGTCTTCCACTGTTACATGGAAGGTTGCAATGGCTTCTAGGTGGACCCTGATTGAGCTGAGGGAGAGATATGAGTGTGTGAGGTGTAGCAGGTATTCCAGTATATCAGGAAGTGGAGTATCTTGTGGTCGTATGTTACAAGAGGTTGCCCAGTGAACAAATCAAGCCCATTTGCTCATGTATGTTTTTCTTGTTGCAGGTGCTCTGCTTTGTAACAGGACATCATGGACTTGTTGAGAACACTGCAGTTCTATGCCCGTGAA